GTTGTTTTGCAATTTAAAAAAAATTTGTTTGCAATATCCGTTTACAAATAAAACCAAAATGTTTTATAGACATTATTGTATCTTGATTTCTACAAAATGATCTTCAAGTCTATTATGAAATGTAAAATTATTATGAGAAAAATGGTTCCGAACGATTTACATGAGATTTTGTAGAAAAAACAAAAAAAAAAAATTAAAATAGTTACTCGATTCTTTTTATAAATATTTAAATTATAAAAGAAAAAAAAACCATAAATAACCGAAAAGTATCAACAAAGAAAAATCCTTTTTATTAATAAAGTAAATAAAAAACTCAATCTGAAAAAAAAGTATTATCTTGTGAAATAAAAATAACATTTAAAAACATATAAATGGGAAACGAACCAAACCCGAACCGAACGAACCAAACTAGAACCTTAAATACGACCGAACTGAACCGAACCCAAATTTTACTTATTAACGAACCCGAACTTTAAGGTTGTTAAGGACGCACCAAGCGAACCTTACCCTAACTAAGCCAAAAAGAGATTTATAGTAATGAAAATTTTGCAATTCCTACTACTATACATAACATAATACATAATCTAATACTTAACATAAATCTATAAAACATAACATAAAACATATATATGTATATATATATATATATATATATATATATATATATATATATATATATATGTATATATATATATATATATATATATATATATATATGTATGTATATATATATATATATATATATATATATATATATATATATATATATATATATATATATATATATATATATATATATATATATATATATATATATATATATATATATATATATAAGATCTGTAAGATCAATGGTTCAGACAATGACAGTATACGTAATTTGAAGGGAGCTTTTCTGCCCAGCTTGATTAAAAAATATATCATAAATGAGGTGTTGAAGAAGTACAGGGAGTGCAGATATGGACAGCTTTAGTGAATGCAGTCATTCAAATCAACTATCTCCTTGAAAAAAAAAGTAAAGCTGACAATGAATCGTATGATTTTCAGGCAGACTTTATAACAGCTGCTACTCCATTGTCTATGGCTGGCAGTAATAACACAAGACATGAAATTGACAAATACTCACGCCAATATACGAGTTAAATGATAAACAAGGACCGAATCTGTTTCCTAAAATTCTCCGGAACTAATAAAGTTTTGGAACTGAAATTTTCAGGGTATATTAATAGAAGAACAAATATCAATCTGAACCTATCACAAAAGTTGGAAATTAGTTCTGCTTTTAGTTACAATGTATTTAGAACAACATTCACAATTGTTTGCCCCAAAATTGATCTAAAAAAAAAGGTTCTACTAGATTTAAATGTTTGATTGTGGTTCAAATTGTAGTCATACCCATTCTTAAACTTTTGGGAAAATTTAAAAGTGTTTTGTCAACAACATCTTAAATTTTTTTTTTTTTTTTTTTTTTTTTTTTTTTTTTTTTTTTTTTTTTTTTGTTCTTTAATTTTACAACTTTGTGATTTAATAAATATTCGTTAACAATGTATATATATATACATGATCGTTATTAAGAAATAAAAGAACGCGGGAACTCGTAGAAGACCGTAAGGTCTTGTCGTCGAGAACCGCTAAAAAATTTTTGTGTTAATATTTCGTATTAATAAAATATTCTCAAAATAAATAAACTTTCAATAGGAATATATACTTAGCATAGTTGAAGATAACAAATAATTAAGAATTAAGAATTGAAAACATAAACAAATTTAAAGAAAAAGAAAAACGGCTCCGTTATAAATACATAGATGCGTTATACAGTTTTAAGATACCTTTAACAAAAGTGTTAAACAACTATTTACAAATTATTAAATTATAAAATTTATTAATGCAGTGTTAAATATAAAGTTAAAAAAGAAACAAAAAATTAAAAGAATATAGATATATCATCTAATAAAAAAATGACTTTTTTAAGTTTTTGTTTGAAAGAGTGATAGCTAACTTCTTGAGAAAAGTCAAAATTCTTTAAAACTATTTTATTCCAAAGTAATGCTCCTCGAAATGAAATACAGTATTTTCCAGAATTAGTTTGATAAGCTGATTGACGAATATTATTATCATTTCGTAAAATGTACTTAGTTTTTTCTTTTTTGTTATACAAATTATGAAAAGGTACAGGAGAAATATTGTTTTTACATTTAAACATAAAACATATAACGTTAAAAATATTAAGCTCATATATATTTAAGACTTTCATTTCAATTAATAGAGGCTTGGCATGAGTAAATCGATCCTTAAAATTAATAAGGCGTGCAACATGTTTCTGTTGACGATAAAGAGGTTCCAGTTTACTTTTATTAGTACTACCCCACGCAATGTTCGCATAGTTAATGTGACAATGAATGAGCGAATAATATAGTTTAAGTAATGCATGTTTATTTAAAAAACACCTTGCTTTGTACAAAATTCCTATGCTTTTTGATATTTTACTACTCAAATTTTTTATGTGACTTTTCCATGACAAATTTTCATCAATATAAATACCAAGAAAGTTTGTAACTGTTACTTTTTTTAGAAGTATATTATCAATAAAAAGCAGTGGCATTTCATTTGGTATAAGATTTTTTTGTGATTTGGATGGAAAAAAATCCATTTCGTTTTATCAATATTAAGAGACAGTTTATTTGTCTTAAACCAATCAGAAACTCTTACTAGTTCATTATTGATATTCTGAAATAACAATGTAATATCATTATGAGATAAAAATAAGTTCGTGTCATCTGCAAACATAATCGTCATTAAATTTGAGGCTTTATGGAGATCGTTGATGTAAATAAGAAAAAGAAGAGGCCCTAATATTGATCCCTGAGGAACTCCACAGGTTATATCAAGCAAGTTTACTGGTGAAACTACATCAACGTATACAAATTGCTTTCGATTATTTAAATAGCTTTTTAACCAATTTAAAACACTTCCGTTTATACCGTAAATCTTTAGTTTATTTAAAAGAATATTGTGGTCTATTGTATCGAAAGCTTTAGCTAAGTCAATAAAAACCCCAACTGTATATTGGGAGTTTTCAAAAGAGTTAGTAATACTTCTTGTAAACTGGAGAACTGCGTGTTCTGTCGAGTTATTTTTTTTGAATCCATATTGATTGCTATATATTTAATTGTTTACAGATAAATGATTATAAATTCTGTTGTATAAAATTCTCTCCAAGACTTTTGAAAATGCAGATAGAATAGAAATGGGACGATAGTTGCTAACATTAGTTAAATCACCTCCCTTAAATATCGGAATCACCTTTGCTATTTTTAGTTGGTTAGGAAAAATTCCTTGCCTAATAGAACAAGAAAAAATCTTAAAAAGTACATCTTTAATGATTTCATATGATTTAATAACAATATTTACATTGATATCATCCGCACCTGCTGATTTGTTGGGTTTTAGCATTTTAAAAGCGCATTCAAACTCTTCAAAAGTTAGTTCAAACGAATTAAATTGCGATGTATTAGGGATAAATAGATTACTTATTGGATTAATTGCTTGAGGAATTTTTTGGGATAAATTTGGTCCAACAGAAACAAAATATTTATTCAGCTCGTTAGCTATCTCTTCTTTATCATACAAAAATTTATCATTTGATTTGATGGTTTTAGGCAATGTGAGTGTGTTCATTTTAAAACTGCCTGTGATTTCCTTTATAACTTCCCATGTGCGCTTAGAATTTAATTTATATTTCTCAAGTAAATCATTGTAATCATTTTTTCTTTTTTTAAGATTTTTTCTTTGACGTTCGAATTGTTTGGCGTAACTTTTATATATAGCTTTACTTTTATCTGTTTTTAGTTTTAGGAGTTTAATGTACAATTTTTGTTTGATTTTGGATAATTTTCTTAACCCTTTAGTAATCCATGGGGATTTTATACTTTTTAATTTACAATGTATTTTGATTTTTGGAAAATTAACATCATATATATCAAAAAAAGTTTTAAAAAATTTGTTGTAAGCCAGGTTAGCATCATCTAAATTGAAAATGTGCCCCCAATGATGAAGAGACAATTGCTCTTTAAATGTTTCCAAAATTTTTTCATTAAAAATACGTTTAACAAAAATTTGATTTATATTTGGTGACGTTTCCATTTTAGTATTAATGGAAAAGAAAACAGGGAAGTGATTAGAAATGTCACTTTTAATTATGCCTTTTTTAAGAGATTCGTTAAATAAATCAGTCGTTATTATATTATCAATCAGGAAAGATGTTGATTGAGTTTTTCTGGAAATTTTGGAAAACAATGAGCACTAAAGTTAATTAAAAAAAAATGCTAATATAAAATAAATCTAATTATTAAAAAAATAACTTATTCTATAATTGGTTATAATAGCCATCAGGATAAATATTTTTTCTTTATTAAATTCAAATAACAAAAGGTACTTCTATAAAATATGCTCTTAACGACCGTTGCAATACAAGTTATCTCAAAATAAACAACCATTGTAATCCAAAATAATTGAAGTTTACGTTGTTGAACTTAGATGAGCATTTTTTTGGTTTCCTTGTAAAAGGTTTATTAATATTTCACAAAAATCAAAAATTTTTAGGTTTTTCACTTTTATTAAATGGGAGAGACCTAACCTTAATATTACTTTAATTTATTTGTGTTTTATGTCATTTGCTAAAGCTATTTTTTGAAGTCAAACTTCAAAGTTCAAGTCGAACTTCACTTAAGTTCGCTTCTTGCATTCTACCCTTACGGTGGAATATCACTGGTCGTACGGTGTTATATTACTTATTTAGGAGCATACGATTAGTATCAAACTATTTGGACCTGGCTTTCTTTTAGAACATGTATTCTTGCTTTAATAAATCTTTTCTAATGTTAAAATTGTGATTGAAAATTAAAAAATACTTTAAAATCTTTTTCTAAAAATATATAAATTTACAAATATTTTGAATAAAAAACATCACAAAAAACAAAGCAAAAAAAACAACAAACATGTTTAAACAAACAGAAACAGTATTCAGCATCAACAATAATTTAAAAGAATGTTTCATAAAAAAAAATAATTCTTACGCTAGGTTTCTAAAACCCAAGCGCTGAAAATCGCTTATATCGAAATTCAAATACATTTAGAGATGATAAAAACTATACTATTAACAATACTTTCAGCGGATACATTTAATAAAGCTAGGACCATACTGATAAAACTCCGTTAACATACATAATTGATTTGGTAGGATATGGAGCCTTTTGCGTTGACTCTACTACATGAAACTGAAGACGATTTTCTTTCTAATAATAAAACAACAGCAATAATAAAATTTTTACCATAAAAAAGATTAAAGATTTTACTACGATGTAAATTTGTATCAACTAGAGGTTTGATCCAAAAATATTGTTAATTCTGTTCTCTAAACAGCTGAAACCTTTCTTTATGTTAAAAATCATTTTAAACTTTTCAAAACTTTAACTTCCCAAAATATAATAAATATAAAGTATAGGACGTTTTGACTAAATATAAATTAAAAAACTTTATTGAACGTTAACGTAGAACGTTTTTTTTTCTACCTAATAACTCACGTATGGTTTTGAATCAAAAGCGATTTTACGGGGGAGGTTATAGTCGGTTTTTTGAGGAACATAGTCAGCTAGTTGGGTATTTGACACAATTTAGTCAGGTAAATTTTAGTTTAGAAAACCTTTTTTTTTTGGAACCAATCGGTAATTTTTAGGGATTTACCTAATTTTATTCGTAGAATCGCTTCTGTACTGAATACAAAGTAAATCTTATATGCCAAAGATATGCTTTAAAAAATAATTCTTTATTTTATTTACTATTATAAAGCACCTTTTTATTTTATTTACTATCAAAAAACACCTGCTTATTTTATTTACTATTACAAAACACCTGTTTATTTTATTTACTATCAAAAAATATCTGTTTATTTTATTTACTATCACAAAACACTTTCAGTCAGTCAACTTGACGCTTTGCAAGTCGGCATTGACATCTCAGGTTAGCGTATTTTTTATTAATAAAATTAAAGAGGAAAATAAACAATAAATAAACAAATCGTTTCAAAACAAAATTTAAATAAAATAATATCGTTAAAAACGAATACCTGGTGCATCGAAATAAAATGCAAAAGCTCAAGTGATAGCAGACGATTTGCGTTATTCATTTGAGAAAGACTAAATAACAAAAAATAAGTAATTTAAATTTTTTAAAAGATTTATTATCTATGTACAAAAAGTTGCTTACCTAGTATCTTTACATAAACCACCCATTACCATCTAAAATAAATAAAAAAGTTAACATTACTATCTAAAATAAATAAAAAATTTTATATTAAAATATTAGTAAACTTTTATATATAGTTCTCTTTTTAAAAATTAAAATATATCCATCACAAAATGTAATAACTAAACAGAACTAAAAAAAAACCCACCTTAAAAGTGACTTGTTTGTTTAACTCGTGATCAAATAGAGGAATACCATAGCTTAACTGCAAAGGTACCCATGAGTCCTTACTTGATAAATCAAGATTTTCATTAGAGCATTTAATGTTTTCATTTACGAGAGAAGAGCTTCCAACATTCTTTTTTAAATTTAACAATGTTATATAACCACAAGATGTTGTCAAATTAAAAGCATCATTTATGTTTTGAAGGATTTGTGGTATCTGTCCTTTAAAATCATAAAACAAGTGGATGCAAGAAAATCTTTATAAAAAACAATAAGTAAAAGAGACATATGTGACACTGTGGTATGTAAGACTATTAGAAATTTGAGAGAGTAACAGCAAGAGAAGATTAAGAGCTGAAAGATAACAGGTTTAGAAAAAAGACAATCAAAAGATGTGGCTGAAATATGAGTGTGTTACAAAAAAATTAGAGATAAGAGGTCGATATATAAAAACATCTAAAATGAGAAAATTTTTAATCTTCTTTAAAAATAGAAGTAAAAAAAACTTACCAGATTCTCGTAAACATTTTTCATCAAGCGGAAATGAGATATTTAAAGTATCACCTTCTCCATTAATACCATCACCCTTAAAAAATAGTTTTTCAAAACAAAAATTAAATAATAACTTTTGTGAAGCTCCAAGTTACTCGTAACAGAATGCAATTATTATAAATATCCAAAATTTCATTTAGAATTATATTTAAGGATAATTGTTATTTTAATTGAGTAAAAAGCAATTACTTGAACAAGAACTGGGGAGTGCATCAGAGCTTCATTAAGAGAAAACAAAACATTTGAAGTGTGTGCAATAACTGGATCGTGACTCCATGTTGTGATAAGCAACCTCTCAAAATTCTGTAATAAAATTTTGCATTTATACAATAACAAATACACATTCTATTACCATTTTTCATACTAAAATAAATTTTATTCAAGTATATACTAAAACAGACAAATTTTAATTTCAATTTCCATGAAAAATTTATTAAATTCCCTGATATTTTGACATAATTTAGAATTTCCCTGACTTTTCTAGGTTTTCCAGATTGCTGGCCGTCCTATAAAAAATTTTATTCAAGTATATCCTTGATCAATAAATCAAGAACATCCTTCATTAATACATCACATGCATCATATACATCAAGTACGTCTTACATTGCATACATCAAGTACATCCTCCATCAATTATATCCTTTATCGAATATATATAGTGGAAACTCGCCTAAGATCTTGCAAATGGTTTTAATTTTTGGATCTTTTTTTAAAAATATCTCAAAACTTAATAAGATGACAAAATTCTTTATTGGGTGAAAATTTTGTATACATGTAGAATGAATTAGTCCAAATAATTTCCAGGATATACATATATCCTGGAAATTATTTTGACTAATTAAAAACAACCTCCTGTCTTTTTTTTACCACCTAAAAACATGATTTTTTGTACCACCTCATAATGAACAGATGTTTTGTACCACCTCATAATGACCAGATGTTTTGTACCATCTCATAATGACCAGATGTTTTGTACCACCTCATAATGACCAGATGTTTTGTACCACCTCATAGTAAAAAGATGTTTTGTACCACATCATAATAAACAGATTTTTTGTACCACATCATAATGAACAGATGTTTTGTACCACCTCATAATGAATAGATGTTTTGTACTACCTCATAATGAATAGATGTTTTGTACCACTTCATAATGAACAGATGTTATTCTACACTGAGTGATAACATCTGGTCATTTTGATCAATGCCAGACACCCATTTATTTTAGTATCAAACAGTATTTGGTTGTTTTTTCCCCTACATAAACGCATCTTATTTTTTTCCTCTTCTATCATAAACTGTCCCATCATTTTGTGAGCTCCAAATTACCTGACCTATCTTTAATTTTAACTTTTTAACTGCAATTGGATAACATACACTCTCTTCTTGAATCCTTTATTAATATACATTAAAACATACATTTTCTTCTTGAGAGTCCCTATGTTGTATATTGCGTAGATAGAGTAGTCGAAGTCTGAGAGACTGAGTTTCTTTATTCAAATAAGATTTCATAAGTTTTAATACTGTTGGTGCTACCTGTCACAGACTGAGGTCATCAATGAAACCATCATACACCTCTGCAATAGACTAATTCTTCATGGATGTAGAAAGAGAGGGGAAGGAGGATTATTTCAATATAGAAGACTATACTGAATTTAAAAAGCAAAACCTGAAAAAATCTTAAAAAAAAACTTAAAAAATATTTGGAGTTACTAGTTAAAATTAAGCAAAAAAGTTTGCGTTTCTATAATTGTTACCATGGTTACTAATGCTTTAAAATAAAATTTTTAATTATGCAAAAACTTGAAAAAGTTTTATCTTTATCTAGAATTTCCCCTAAAATCAAATCCCCTACAATAAAAATATCAATAAAAACTGTACTTTAACATACATGAAATATACTAGGAAGTTGCTTTAGTCTTGTTCCTTTTACTAAAAGCAATGATGGTGGACCTTGCTTTAATTTTGAGTAGAAAAATAATTTAAACCACACAGAGTTAACCTAAACATCAAAAACATTAAAGATGGAATAATTTACTTGTACTTTCAACAACTTTTAAAAATATTCAGATAAGACATATGCTGTAATAATTTTCAACTAGTTACTGTAAATATTTTAAAATGATAAAAAAAACTACAAAAAAATTGTAACCTCGGGAATAGCTGGACCAATATGAGGAGGACAACAACTTGCTATTGGTCGTATTTCATTACTTAAAGGTGCCATTGATATCAATAAACTAAAAAATATTTAGCTCAACTAATTTTAAAAATTGATTAAAAATTTACATACTTCTATATTATATATTCCTATTTTATTTTACAGCTTTATTTATATTTACCTGTAATTTTACCTGTATTTTTTCTGAAAAATTCGAGAACAGACAGCAGGATCAAGACTGTTCATACTTTCACATCTTACAAGATCTTTAAAATAAAAAATAAAATTGTTTAAACTATTCTTTTTTTAAATTAATTAAAAAAAAAAATCTACATCTAATATGTTTTAAATAATACTTTTACTATGTTTTAAATGATACTCTTACTATGTTTTAAATGATAATCTTATTATGTTTTAAATAATACTCCTAAGTTTTAATTTTTGGTTTTAAAATATTGACAGAACTTTACAACGAATCTAAAAAATACATATCTAAGGTTAAAGGCATATACTTTCAAGTATTTTAGGTTATTATATTTGTTTTCATTTGTTTTTGCTAAGTAGCAATTTTTTAGAATTGCTGTAATTTGAAATTAGATATAAAAACTATTAGATTATTTATTGAAAATTACAATTTACTAACTATTTATTGTTATTATTTATTATTATTACATTATTTATTGAAAGCTACAACTGTTTTATTATTTATTATTATTAGATTATTGTTTATTGAAAATTACAATTTATTTATTATTATTTATTTATTATTACATTATTTATTGAAAATATGAAAACTACAAAATTAAACCAAATTTTCAATAACTATGTAAAGATGCATTACTTAATAAATGGTTGCATGGTTTGACACAAAATAAATGGCTGCATGGTTTAACTCAAAATGTAAATAAATGCCTTAATTCATTTATTTGATCTCATTGCCTAAAGAGAATTTATTGCAGTAGAAAAATTATTTGCAATTTTTTTAAAAATTGAAAAATTTGCAATTCAAAGTTTTCTGAAATTTTTAAGATGCGACAAAACGTTTTGAAATTTTTCCAGAAGTTTTAGAATGAGATCACCATGTGAACTGCAACCAAACATTCAGATTTAATAGAACCAATTTTTTGAAACAATTTTGGGACATTAAAATGTGAGTGTTATATTACTTACTAACTAAATGCAGAATTAATAGCTTTTTAATTCACATTGTTCTTTGTTTTTTTATTAATAGAAATTTCATTCCATTAACTTTATAAGTTGCTGAGTATTTTAGAAAACTATTTTTTTGTATACACAACATTATACATTGTTTCAATACAATTTTTTTTAATTCTACTAATAGTGTTTTTGTTTGTTTTTCTGATTGTGTTGAAATGCAACTCTTTTAGTTATTTCCTAATGATGGTACTGAGCTCTAAAACTCAGTTTAATGGTTCTGAGGTCAACTGGTAGTAAGGTTTCCAAGACTCTAAGGTAACTCACAGAGAAGCTACCATAGACTGTCTCATTGTCATTAGGTTGCATCTGTTTTTTTCTTTCTACAAATAATACCATGGTTGTTTATCAAGTAAACTACCATTATTTGTCCCAGCTAATAAAACACTTGTCCCAACTAATAAAACACTTATCCCATTTAAAAAAACACTTGTTCTAACTAAAAATTCTAGTTATCCCACTTAATAAAACACTTGTTCTAACACTTGTCCCTCCTAACAAAACGCAATCTCGAGTGACTTGTCATTCAGCAAAGTTGCATCTTTTTAATGTAAATGTTTCTTCAAAAAAAATTATTTATCTAAACTTTTTTCCTCAAAAAACAATAATTTGGGATTCTCTTCTATCTTTATGTTCCCTTGACAACAAATACAAATTTCAGTTTTTTAAGTCTTTATTTTCTAAACTCACTTCTAACTTTTAAAACTCTCTTCTAACCTTATTTTAGAGTTACTTACTAGTAACTCCAAAACTAAATGCAGCCTTGCTAGAAATTAATTCAAAAAATAATACTCTTAATAACGAAAAAATTTTTTTATACTAAACTTTAAAAACACATTCAACCTTAAAACTTTAAAAACTTTTAAAACATACCTAACTTTAGAGCACTCATATCTTTCATATCTTGATCGATATTAAGATCTTTATTATTTCGCAAGTATTGTATGGTGTTTTTAAGAATTTCTGCATGGTCAAAATATCGCTGTGCTTCTCCTTCATTGGTTACATTTTCAATCTGAATTTATGCAAAAGTGAAATAATGGAATGTTTTAAATGTGTTAGAAAAAGTTAAAAAATTTTTATGTTAACCTTTTCAAGTTCTGCGACAAAATTGTCCAAAGATTCATCAGTTAGCTTACCCACTTCAAACATTGTAACAGCATGTCTTTTTAATCCCTATAAATTTTGAAAAGATTACAATCAATAAAAAAATCTCAAATCATTTATTCTAAATCAATATACCAAAATAAAACAACAACAACAACGAAACATAAAAACCTGAGAAAGATTTCCCATCATTAAAAAAGCAGTCAGTGTTGAGTCAAATAAAAACGCAATTCTTTTTGTATATGCTGTTTCTAAATAAAAAATAGATAATAAGTACACACACACACACACACACACACACACACATATATGTAAATATATTAATATGAAATATATATATATACATATATATAAAATATAATACATTATATTAATATGTAATATATATATATATATATATATATATATATATATATATATATATATATATATATATAAATGTATATATGTATATACGTATATATGTATATATGTATATGTTATATATATATATATATATATATATATATATATATATATATATTAGGGTGGTAGTCAAAAATTAAATGTTCAGATTTGTCTGGGACAACATCTAGTCCTGTTCCTATTGATCTCATGAACTCATGTGCAAAATTTCATAAAAATATTCCTTCATTAAAGGGTGCCACATGCCAACTGATAAAATCACATGTACGCAATAGAAAAGATAGTCGTGTAAATTAATGTGTTGTTGAATATTATTGAAATCTTTAAATACATTTTTTTATCTGTAAATCCATTTTGAACACAACCAGAAGTCTTTTCAATGAGGTGTACTCTTTATGTTTTTTTTGAGAATCTGACCAGTTGTTAAATTTATCAACTAATTAATGTTCTGTATATGAAAAATATTTATAAATTTCCAAATACAGATAAAAAAAACAGAAATTTTACTTCAGAGCATTTTTAGAAATTTGTTACATTCAAATAGTTAAATTTTTATAGTGCTTAATTATTAATTACTTAGCTGCAGCCCACTTACTTATTTTTTCTATCCCAGAATTCCTTGTAATTTGCCACCAAACCGCCATTTTGTATGTTTATCACTATCAGACTACCAAATTAATTATTTTAACTAAAAATTTTTATTTTTAACAATTTTGCAGTGGAATATCTCAATTGTGAAAAGTCAGTATACATTTAAGTTGTTATTTTGTAATATAAATTATGTAAACTACTTTGAATTTTATTTTATATAAATTCATATCTTTAAACTCAAAAAAGATACTGAATAATGGATATCACTGAATATATACTAAATTAATAAAATTTTATAACTTTTGCAATTCACATCATGCTTATTGCATAACTTTATTTGTATTTTTCTAGATTAATAAATATCAGAAAATGTCACAATCAAAACCTGCAACTGAAATTTACCTTCTCGGTTTTACAAATGCCTCCATTAATGGTACTAGACTACCATTACGAAAGCAAGCATTACAGTTTTTCTTGCATCAGTTGAAAATAAACAAAAAAAACCGTGCGAGAAAGTTCGGACATTACTATTAAAATAGTTGCTGATTTTTGGAACAAAGCTTACATGCCAATGACAACATTGCAACTTGCAATTGCGAGGCTAGAGAAAATATACAACGAGTGGAGAAATCTACAAAAGGCTTCAAAAAGAGGAGGAGCAACTCAGATAGCGAAAGAAACAGCCTTTGTTGCATCATTTGAAGATACGCTCGACATTTCTCAAACTTTTTCTTAAAGCTCAGCTTGGAAATGGAAGACACTCAAGTTCAATGGCACAAATAGACAGAAAATTGGCAGTCAAGTTGAAGCGTAAACATGAGAGACAAGAGGCTATAAAAGCCAGAACAGAACGAGAAGAATTGAGACATGCTGTCAGCAACGGTGAAGCTGTAGTTGAAACATTTGAATCAGATTCAGAAAAAAGTTGCAATGAGAATGTAGATTCTGACCATGACTCAGCAGTGACACCGCAGACAAAACGACCTCGTCCAAAAAATAGTCAGTCCACAAGTTGCAGCAGCTTTAGATCAAACGAAGATCAGCGACCGAAATGCGGTTTATGCTTTGGCTTCATTCTCAGTTGCTGTTGGTCAAAACCCAAGTGAACTAGCTCTGAATCGCTGGTCAATTCGACGCAATACAATGAAACATAGAGACGAAACAATTTTGAAATTGAAGGAAAGTTTTGGTGAAAATATTAGGGATGTTTCACTCGTAGTGCATTGGGACGGAAAGTTACTCCCTGATATATCAGGAAAACATGAAAAAATAGATCGCTTGCCTATTCTTGTTTCGGGTCAAGGTGTAAAACGTCTATTGAATGTACCTAAGCTCCCAAATGGCACTGGAGAGGCAATGGCAAATGCAGTTGTAACAGCAATCTACGACTGGAATCTTGCAGAGAATATAAAAGCCATGTCTTTTGACACTACAGCCAGTAATTCTGGGATTCGCTCTGGTGCAGCAGTTCTTATTGAACAAAAGATGAATAAAGAGCTGCTCCATCTTGCATGTCGGCATCATATTTTTGTTCTTGGAGATGTGTTTAACTCATTAGCTGGACCATCTATTGGACCAGACATTTTGATGTTTAAAAGGTTTCAAACAACATGGCCATTAATCGTTCGTGACAGATATGAAGACGGTATATCAGATCCTGAAACAGCTTTAGTTTTTAGCAGCAACAGAGAAATGATGAAAGAAGCTATTGATTTCATTCAGAACTGCTTGCTGACAGAGAACCAGCCTCGTGATGATTATAGGGAACTTTTAGAACTGTCTTTGATCTACCTGGGTCATATTCCTCCTCGCGGGGTTCATTTTATGGCTCCTGGGGCTATGCATCGGGCCAGATGGATGGCCAAGGCTATTTATTCAATCAAAATTTTTCTCTTCAGATCCCAGTTTCGCATGACGAAGCATGAAATAAATTTATCACGTTTCTTGAATATTTTTGTCTGCTTTGTCTATCTCAACTCATGGTTTACTGCTTCGCTGTCCATTCAAGCTCCACTGAATGATCTCATATGCCTTAAACAACTCACACAATTCAGGACAATAAATTTAAATGTTGCGAATGTAGCGATAAAGGCATTGTCTCGTCATATGTGGTACCTCAGTGAGGAACTGATTGCCTTTAGTTTTTTTGATGATCGTGTTGATGCAGCTACAAAATACGAGATGGTAAATGCAATGAAAACAAAAACTGGAAATGGAATTCCTGCAAAACGTGTTCAACTACGTGAAAACAACATTTCATCATCAGAGCTTGCTGATTTCATTAACTCGAACACCATGAGGTTTTTTGTTATACTGGGCATCTCAACTTCTTGGCTCGAATTGGATTCATCTTTGTGGAACGAGGACCAAGTTTTTATTGCAGCTAAGCATTTTGTAGCCGGTTTGAGCGTTGTGAATGACAGAGCATAGAGAGGAGTTGCTCTTATCCAAGACTTTAACCAAATTCTAACAAAAGATGAAGGACAAAAGCAAGCACTTCTCCAGGTTGTGTCTGAGCATCGAAAACAGTTTCCAGATGCCAAGAAATCCACTGTTGTTAAACAGGACTAAATAGTCATTTTTCCATTCAAAACAAAATGAAAAACTAAAATGATATTGAAATTATAGTTAATTTTTCATGGTTTTCAATGTTCAATACTTTGTTATTTAAAAACTTTTGAATTAAAATAGTTTATATAAAAATTTTTTTTTAAAGTGCTTACAGCCATTAGCGTCAACTTTAGTGAAACTTTCAACCCTGTGTGGCACCCCTTAATGATGAAATATCCTTCTCAAATTTTGCACATAAGTTTGTTATGCTAAAAGGAACAAAAATAGAGGTTGTCCCATCAATTTACTTTGAAAAAGTTTATTGAGCACCACCCTAATATATATATATATATATATATATATATATATATATATATATATATATATATATATATATATATATATATATATATATATATATATATATATATATATATATATATATATATATATATATATATATATATATATGTAAGCATTTGCTCATTTTTTTTGTTCATCTAAATCGATATGGCTTTTTTTAGAAAAAGAAAAAAAAAACAAAGAATAATGAAAGAAAAAATTGCTGTCCCATGCCAAACCCTCAGTCAATGTAGCAGCACTCCACTACGAGTCAGGCTATTTGTCAGTCAATGTATGTACTGAAGCCCCCGGAAGCAGGCTGTTTCAGTATTACACACACACACACATACATACATATATATATATATATATATATATATATATATATATATATATATATATATATATATATATATATATACACACACACACATATATATATACACATAAACATATACATGCACACACACATTGGGTAATAAGTGGGCTTGGCATAACAATTCTATGCTAAGGGGTCGTTCATAAATTATAAACCTTGCCCATATATTATAAACTTAAATTATAAATTATAAATTGTCCATAAACCCCATGCAATTTTTGATCTGTTTTGACCCGTTCTCCCTTGCCACAACATCGTAACTCTTTAGTAACAAATCCTGTATGAGTTGTCACAAAACCAATAGCCTTTCTCCTCCAGAGCTTAATAGTAAAAAAAAAAGTAATTTATAGACGAATCCTAATATGTCAACAAAAAAGTATATAAAATATAGGATTATCCTCATAAGATATTTATCAAACTTCATTACAATAAAGAGGAGTTAAAATAAAATACTTAATACGTTGAAAATCTGTATTTCATAAATCAAAGAACTAATGTAAGAACTATATCAATTATTAGGTATTGGAGTTTGGGCAGAAATTTTGGCGCCCAAACAGGTATATCAGTGTCAAAATTGGCCTGGATACATAATTGACTATACTTTGTTTTTCTCTAAATAAATCTAATGTAAATATGGCTGAAAATACTTGATACAGTATCACTATTTGGTAGTCAGGTATTTTATGGCCTAAACAACTTTATTCCATTTGATAAGCATTTTTGTGATATATATTTAGCAAATATTTTTTAAAGCTGTTTTTGCTTTTTAATTTTTTTACTCAGGCATATAAGGGTTAAAAAAAAAATTATAAAAAAAAAAAAAAATAAATTTTTAAACCAAAATAACCTGATAGCATAGTACTGCTTTCAATCTCTAATAAAACTTCAGGATCATCTTCTTTTTCCAAGTTGCCATTAATGCACTGATCATCTTCAAAATCTAGCAAAATATCTGCAGAGCTTCCATCGAATCTGATAAATTAATCATTATTTTATTGAAAGAGAAAAAAAAACAGTAGGAAACAAATAAACAATCCTCAGTGATTTTCAAAAAGCAGATGTTGTGGACGTCATGTCAGTGGATTTCAAAAAGCAGTTGTTGAGGATTGAATGTCATGTAAAAAAAAGGATGTTTAACAATTTTTTTAAAATTTAATTCAATAAATCAAGATAATTTTATAACATACTAATTTACTTTAACTAAACATGTTTTATATTTTTCCCTAGACCTAGGAAAAAGAGGAAACAATTTAGAAAAATAGGCCAAAATATTAGGGAAATGTCAAATATATCATATTTTTTGTGCTTTTATTAAAGAAATTTTTTATTGTGTTTGTATTATTATTAATTGTTATTATTGTTTACAACATATTTTGGTTTTAAAAAATGTCTTTTCCCATTAAAATTTGTTTTTAAAATAATAAAATAAGACTGTAGAAAAAAAGAAGTAGAATGTAGAAAAAAAGGCCCTAGAACCTAAGTGCGTATATAATAAGAAGCTTAATAGCTTATCTCTAGATGCAAATCTCAAATAAAAGAAGATCTCTCAGAAGATCTCTTGATAGCAAGTCTCAGATGCAAATCTATGCGTTATTCAATATTATTATCACGAAAAGAAAAAAAGACCAAATACAAATTTGGTGGTAGCAGGAGGGTTTTTAATATAACAAATTTTGTTAACAGTTTTAAGAAGTCTCTAATAATTGTATAAGACAGTAAAAATATTATAAATTGTATAAAACAAATAAAAATATACTTTCTTGATTTATTTAATAAAAGGGTTGGAACATCTTTAGATTTTTCCTCTCCATCTTCTTTTCGATATGCTAATCCCAAACGACAAAACAAAGATATTGCATTCTAAATTACATTAACAATTACATTGAAAAGACACATGACACATTTTCGATATGCTAATCCCAAACGACAAAACAAAGAGATTGCATTCTAAATTACATTAACAATTACATTGAAAAGACACATGACACATTTTCGATATGCTAATACCAAACGACAAAACAAAGAGATTGCATTCTAAATTACATTAACAATTACATTGAAAAGACACATGACACATTTTCGATATGCTAATTCCAAACGACAAAACAAAGAGATTGCATTCTAAATTACATTAACAATTACATTGAAAAGACACATGACACATTTTCGATATGCTAATACCAAACGACAAAACAAAGAGATTGCATTCTAAATTACATTAACAATTACATTGAAAAGACACATGACACATTTTCGATATGCTAATTCCAAACGACAAAACAAAGAGATTGCATTCTAAATTACATTAACAATTACATTGAAAAGACACATGACACATTTTCGATATGCTAATACCAAACGACAAAACAAAGAGATTGCATTCTAAATTACATTAACAATTACATTGAAAAAAGGACAAAACAAAGAGATTGCATTGTAAATTACATTGAAAAACACAAAACAAAGAGATTGCATTTTAAATTACGTTAAATTAAAAAATACATTAAAAAATTACATTTTAATTAAAAAAAATGGAAAGAAATTATGCTTTACTTATATAATAAAAATAAAATAAAAAGGCAGCTCTCGGCATTACGAAAAATGAGGACAGCAATAGTTTGCTGACCTTAATCTGTTAGAGGTCGGCATCAGGTCAGCAAAAAAATTTAATACAAAGGTTTTACCATAAAACATAGAAACAAGATAAGCAATTTTTGCCACACCTAGGCACTCCTAAACACTCCTAGGTTGCCATTGCCGAATGCCGACCCTAATTCCGAGGACTGGAAAACTAAATAAAGAAAAAAACAAAACAAAACAAAAAAAAGGCAATATAATGTAAAAACTTACCTTGGTCAAAGAAAGATCAATTTCTAAAACTTGTGCCAGCTAATTAAACAAAAATAAATGAACAAAAAAAAGTTTTTATATTAATAAAAATATCTAATATTCAATATTTTATACCTCTTTAACAGTAGTGTGCTCATCTATTGACACAAAAACTTTATAAAGCATAGCTTCCATATAGTCTCCAAGAACTCGATTCATAATAAAGTTCTCTAAAGGGGGAACTTAAACAAGAACAGCATATTTTCAATAAAGGCTTTTTTTCTAAACACTTGGATAACTTTACTATGTTAAAATACACTTACCCACTATAAAATCATCATCTTTTATGGGAACTTCCATGTATATTAAACCACGGTTGTATAATGCTAAATAAAAATATTTTGTTATTATTATCATTATTTTATCTATACAAACTGTTAACAGAAATTTGAAACAGGAATAATAAAAGTATGAATAAAAGTTTTTACAGATAAAAAGTACTGTGAAAGAACAGCAATCACTGTGAAAGAACAACAATCAGAATAAAATGAAAAAATGATGAGTTGCACATGAATGCACATTTGTTAGTCCGTAAAAATGGAAATGATAACTTGTCTGAGCAGCAACTCGAAAAATGGAAATGATAAATTGTTTGAGCACAATTTCAAAAAACGGAAATGACAACTTGCTTAAGCAACAACCGCAGCAGTATTTTTAAAAAGATTTATAGACGTAAAAAATAAAATCAGAAGGAACTGAAATGTATAATACAGAGGCAACCTTTTTTATTGGAATTGATATATAGATATTTGTTATTTTACTACTGACCTCTTCTGGAAGACCTTAAAAGATAAGAAAGTGTAAATAACAAGATTCATTTAGTATCTTTCTGTTTATAAAAAAATACTGCTAATGTAAATAAAAAAAAACAATATGACCAAGAGATAAAACCAGGGTTGAATGGTTCAAACCGCTTCAAAAAAATGTTGGTTTAAACCAATTTATGAACAAACTTTACAAAAAAGGAGGTTAAACAAGGGACTATGCTAACAAATTTAACTATATCTTTAATGTAAATGTTTTTTATAAATGTAATTAGTTATAAGCATAAAAATATTTTTAACAATAAGTTTACTGACTAGAAAATATCAAAAATCTTTGGATTTTGAAAATATAAGAGCACCAGGACTTTCAAAAACTTTTTTAATTAACAGACTCAAATTTAAAGGTGAGAAACAACTGACAATGGAGGATTCAGGTAAAAAGACCTCAGAATGCTAGGTGTTCTTTAAGATCCTAGTTAAGTCAAAACATGGATTTTTACAATTTACTCTTGTTAGAATGCCAAAAAGGTTTAATTTTTTGGGTGTTTTGTCATATGTCTTATATTTCATATGTTCATTTTCATATGTCTTTAGATACATATTTAGGATATATATGTTTCAATGGGAACCTCAGAATGTCAGGTTAAATAATTGGTTGTACTGCTTCCAATTCTAGTTAGAAAATCAGAAATTTCTGCATAAAAGCTTACTTTTTCCTGCTGAATAAATAATTTGGTTTACTCACTCTTTTTACTTTTTATATTCCACTACAAATTGCTCGTTCCACTACAAATTGCTCGGCTCAACTACAAATTGCTCGGTTCAGGAACCTCATAATGCTAGGTGAATGAAACTTAATTAAAAAAAAAGATTTTTTATTTTGATTTCTTCTCAAAATTATCAAATAAATACTTTGCCTGAAGTATACTTCTGTATAGTTCTACTATCAAACCTCCTTCAAAACACACTTTAACCAGTTTTCTTTGTTTGCTTTAAAAATTAAGGTGTGTTCAATGAAGTCCGAGTACAAAAATGTGTTTTGATATTCTTTTTGAGTAGTAAATAAATAAGAAATGGGAAATTTTAATCTTAGCGTTGACTAATTAAGATGCAATGTTCTAAGAGAGATGAAAAATAAGCAGTTGAGTGGTGTAAAATTGGCAATAAACTTGGTTGGGCCGCGAATCAATTTAGGGAAATTTCCACTAGTTATCTCTAACTAGTGGAAAATTTCCCTAAGAACAAACAACTTGATGGTCTCATTGATATTGAAAGAGAGAAGACTTCCTCATCTTTGGTAAAATTTTTTACCAAAGATGAGGAAGAGTTGCTGGTCTGTTATATAAAAAAAACAAGAATAGGTAATATACATGATACAAGAATATACATGATGAAAAAATCTGTTTTATGATTTTATGATTATTGCATTAAGAAAACTAAACTTGTAGTGTTTATTTTTTTGGTATTGTAATTTCAATAATTTGTTTAGATGCCTCCAATATTTAAACAAGCCACAGTTAACAAAGATAATGTTGAATGTTTTGGGAATAAGAAAGCAAGCATATAGAAACGTGGACGCCAGATTACTAAGTTATTCCAAAATGCTCAACAAGTACTTTAAACAAAGAAACTTAGTAGGTTTTTTTGAAAGTATTGGGATGCAAAATATCTCCGTGGACGCCAGATTACTAAGTTATTCCAAAATGCTCAACAAGTACTTTAAACAAAGAAACTTAGTAGGTTTTTTTGAAAGTATTAAGATGCAAAATATCAAAAGTACATCACAAAAAAGAGATAGGAAACTACATCTATAAATTGTGCCCTTAACTGCACAAAAGAATTTTTTTTGTAAATATTTTAATGATTTAGCATTGATAAAAATCTTTTAGAAACAGGTGGCAGGGAGATATTGATATCACTAGACTTTTCAATCATGATGAAACCCCCAAGTTTGTAAACTATGGAATTGAAGGTACTCCAAATAGTTTAGTTCACGCTAGGAAAGAGGAAAGTTGTCAAAAGATGATAAGTAAAAATAGGGAAGGTGTAACTATACATCCTTTTGTTTCCTTCGGAACATTTAGATATAGTAATGTGGCACACCATATTTAAGAGAAAAAAGATTAGTGCCCACATGGTTCCACAAGAAGCAGTCAAATGAATTCCAAATTTCCGCATCTCCACAAATGACAATGGCAGCCAAGATCACAGTACACTTCTAAGTGCATATTAAATGTTCGACCATTATTTAGAAAAAAAAAAATACAAAACAGCCTGTTGCTGTCCTATATGATGGTCATTCTTTGAGATTTGACTGTGATGCATTGCCATTTCTTAGAAACAAAAATGTTATACATTTCATCACTCCACCTGACACAACTGACATTACCCAGCACCTTGATCAAATCAATCAGAAATTGCACTCTAAGTACCGAAAGTACTAAACCTGTACTTTAGCTTTTGTTTATGACAATCTTTTGTTTATGACTCAATAGAGGGGAAAAAATTATTAGAAACAGTTTTATCAATCAAGGAAGACAAATCCAAAAAGGAGCAATCTAATAAAGAAAGAAAATCTAAGCAGCAACAATAAATTGAAGCATTCTATAAATCTAAGGAAGAATGTGCATATGTTTGTGCTGCAACTAAGCATTGAGAACGCTTGTATTGTGTTATAACATTTTAAAATCTTCATGCAGTAGAGCATCATGCCAAGATGAAACAGGTTTAAAACCAAATATAATTGAAACATTTTTTGTACAAGGAACCAAAAAATGCCTTCTAATTGAATCTGATAAAGATAACGTTGAAAACTTCGTTTCTACCTCTGATTCTTTCCAGAATACAAAGTATGTTTTTGCTTCATTATATGACTTTGTTAATGTTAAATTTTATTTTTAATTCTTAATTAAAATCAATGAAGTTTATTATACAGTTTTTTGAATTGGTACCAGGGGCGTGTCTAAGGGATGTCTGCTACATTGGATGTATCCAAAAAAAAGTTTTTCTACTTGATTAAAAAAAAGTTTAACAATGTATAACTATTAAAATTAGCAAAAACTAAACAAATTATGCACAGTTAATTATCTGAAATGGATAAAAAAAAAATAAAAATTGGGAAACATAATAGTATTTTGGTTTCATATTTTTGCGATTATTTAAAAAAAATAATAACAATATTTTGATGGGGGTTAAATTAACTTTTGGGTTATATAACTTGATAAATAATTTTATTTTATTATATAAAACTTCATTATTTAAATACTTCCTTTCATTAATTTAAAAAAAATTAAAATGATTATTTAGTTAGAACAAATTTTGGACTTCCTATTTTACATACACCCTGAGTAAAATTTATATCAAGTTTTATTGTTTAACTATCATCAGGATGCAAAATTAGTTAGTAACAACAAGTATACATCAAAATATACCAATGGACATTCTAGCGTAAAAAACCCCAGTTTTATAAGGAGAAAAAAAGTTTCAAATATGGAAAATAAAATTCAGAATCCGCTTTCAACATACACTCTGTTTTATTAAACTTATTAAATTGTTAAACTTTGTTAAACATAGAATATTGGCGTTGATTAGTTCAATATGTCACTTAATTCACAAATTCATATAGCATTTTAAAGAAAAGTCAGTCTGTTGTAGAAAAACATCATTCCCTTTAAAATTATACCATCAAATATTAGTTTGTAAATTGTGTAGAATTTTTGATATTGTAATATCCTTTGGATACAAGAAAGGAAGACAGTTATTACAAGCTGTTTATAATTGAATTGATAAGAACTAGTCTTGTTCATCGTTTTCTTGGATAATCAAGCATTTGTGGTAAAAAATTAGAATGTTTATATCCAGATTTTTGACTTATTAAGTATAAATTATTTTTTAGCCAAATTGTTTATCCTTTATGAAAATTATAAGAATTATTATTTCCTTTGTTTTCAAAAATATCTTAAGTTATGAAAGAATTTTAAATGATTTTTCTGCCCTTTCTATACAATTTTCCACACATTACGTTTTTTAAATACTAAAAATTCCAATATAGACATAAAGGAAAAACTTATTTATTTAGTGTTTTAATAAAAGCTATTACTGATTTTTCTTTGGATGTTATGAATTGTGAAATCGTGGCACTGATACTTAACAAAAGTTTTTTATTCCTGTGGTTTTTTGTCTCAAGGAATGTCTTTAAATACCAATAGAACATTTAATTGTGCAACCTCTGCTATTGCTTCTTCTACTGAAGTTAATAACAAAAATTTTGATTTTCTTGGTGCACTGTGTATAACAACACGTTTTTATTATAACTTTTTTATTAAATATTGAGTTTAACATAATGTTCAATAATACAACTTTAAAGCACCTGTCTTTTAGTTTCTTTGTTCTAATCTTTAGTTTCTTCAAAAATCAATTGTAGAAATTCAGTGTTCTTGTTATATTAGATAGAAAGACCACATCATATCTCAAAGTGCCTTTTATTTAACCAAATGCTTTATTACGTGAGTTTGACCTGTAGAAAATTTAGTTGAATTATACTTAACTGGTTGAATTTCCAAAAATGAACTCCCATCTAATAATACTGAAAGATTACAACCTTTTCTTTACTGAAGCACAAATGATTATAAGAGAATGGTAAAAAGAAGTTGCAAAGCAAAATGATAGATAAAGTCTAAATGGTTTAGTTTAACTTTTCACACAGTTTGTCTAAACATTTTTTTAACAAGTTTGTTACAAATACTTAAGAGTTGTGTTTTAAATAAAATTCAAATATAATAAAAGCATAGTTTCAAAAACGTCGCAGCCTTTTGTTAAACAGCTCTTTTCATAGCTAGAAACTTTTTTTAAAAACATTGTTTAGCATTTTACAGCATTTAAAATAAGTTTTTTGACTCTTAATAAGTATTTATAAAGTTTATTATTAAAAGTTATTTATAAAATTATATAAAAAAATTTACATAGCAAAATCTTGTATTTAAAAAAATTATAACCTGTATATATTACAGGGTGTCTACCAAATCAGGGAGATCAGGGAAAAGTCAGGGATTTCAGATATCTGCAAAAAAAGTAAGGGATTATCAGGGAAATTAGGTTAAATTTTGGAAAAATCTGGGAGAAATCAAGAAAAATGGCTCTTCATCAAACTTACATATATTAAGTAAGTTATATATACATGGTATTTAGTATATGGTACACGTAATGTAAAATTTTATTTGGCATATATATAATAATATAGTTATATTATTGTTTATATTTTTGCAATTAAAGAGCATCTTTCTAAACGAAGGTCTAATTTTTGTAAAGTTGAGTTTGGGTAACTTTAAACTAACCCAGGGAAAACAGGTAGAAGTTCATGGAAATTTTCGTAAAATAATTTTTATGAGTATTTTCATAGAATAACTTTTTTAATTTGCAAAAGTCATATTTTCAGCTTTAGTGACCACTTTATGTTTTCTAAGGATAATATTTAATTTTTTTTCTTTTTATGACTTAATATCTTCTGTTCAAATTATTTGTGGCTTTCAGCATTTAATAGAAAGTTTTGGGTTTTATGTTGCTTAATTTAAAAACCTGACATTCTGAGTTTCCACTGCATTCTGAGGTCTCGTTACCTGTAAGCTGATAGAGATTGAATAAGTAGCAAATCTAATCTTTCTTTATAAAATGTTAAATAATTTTGATGATTTAAATTGAAAAAATTTGATGAAACAAATATAGAATAGTATTTAAGAATAAACTGTATTAAAAAGTGTATGTAATAATAAAATAATACAATTATTATTGCAATTGCACACTGTTATTGAAGAAAACCCTCATAGAATACATGATACAATTGAAGCTCTGAATAAATTTTTAAGAGTGTTGATCACAACACTCTTAAAAACTTGAAAAAGAAAATAAGCATCACCATGGATATCCCACAAATTAAAAAAAGACTACATGATGTTGTTACAGGAGATAAATAGTGATTTTATTTGAAACAAACTTTGGTTTTATTTAAAACAAATTAAAAACAATCCAGCTGTTGCTAATTCAGTTGGTGAATATGAATGTCTTTAAATATAAGACATGTTCTTGTAAGATAATCATGTTCTACATCTTCAAAACAGCAGGTGTCATTTAATGGGGATATATCTTAAAGAGGAACACCATTATTAAATGCTATATCAAATGCTGCTTAAAACTTGTTATCCTTGAAATCAGCAAAGGTTGTTACATTCAAAACTTATCAATTATCAAAGGTTGTTACATTCAAAAATTATCAATTATCAAAGGTTGTTACATTCAAAACTTATCAATTATCAATTCAAAAACTACTTAAATTGATAACATGAACTTTATTCTTAAAAAGTAAAAGTAAAACATCTGTTTAACACTGAAAGCTTTTTTACCATAAGTAAGGAAAATAATTTATTCAAGTAAAATATATTTAAATGAAAGGTATAGCTTTTTTCTTAAAAAAATTTAATTTTATTTTTAAAAAAACCATGGTTATTTAAATTTTATTTTCAAAAAAACATTTTTTTGAAGAAAAAAAAAAAAATTTAATATTTTTTTTCAGTTTTTTTAAATTTTAAAACTGTTTTTTTTAACCCTAGATGGAACCTTGTAGTTTTTTCAACCCTGGATGGAACCTTGTGGTACTTATGAAAGTGAAGAATAATAGAAAACCTTTGTTATATCAAAAGTAACTTTTCCTGCTTCATTTCTTTACCATTGCCTCCACTTCTTGACCATGCTTCCACTACTTCACTGCTGACAAAATATAAGTTGACTCATGCAACAGGCAAAATATAAGTTGACCCATGCAACAGAGTTGACCCATGCAACAGACAAAATGTAAGTTGACCCATGCAACATGTATTATATTACATTTTTATGCACAAATATATGACTATGATAAAAAGAATTTGTTCCCAAGAGAATATTTCTGATGAATGAGGTAGAAAGAATGTTTGGAATTACATTTGCACAAAATGGAGATTTCTTGAAAATTGCAATTTACAAGATATAACAAAAATTTCATTTTCTACCTGAATCCAAATGATAAGATAAGAAACACATTTGTCAACAGACAAATAGAAGACAACAACCCAAAGACAATTACAAAAAAAATCGGATAAAGAATTATAGTCAGCTTTAAGATATTTGTATGAAGTATGGTGATAAGATATTTGTATGAAGTATGGTGATAAGGTAAAATTATTTGTATGAAGTATGGTGATAAGGTAAAATTATTTGTATGAAGTATGGTGATAAGGTAAAATTATTTGTATGAAGTATGGTGATAAGGTAAAATTATTTGTATGAAGTATGGTGATAAGGTAAAATTATTTGTATGAAGTATGGTGATAAGGTAAAATTAAAGAGGAAGAATGAGTTAATTGATTTAGTTAAAACATGTTCTGAACCACCTAAAAGAAAATGAGGAAAAAACTGAGCACAATGTAGGGTAAAAGATAAGAACAGTAAGCGAAAAGTAGTTGATCTGTTTCATGCAACTTTATAGTTATTATATATTGCAAGCAATGACACAATCTGTTGCAAGATCTGTTGCAAAAGAATCTAAAAAATATTATAAGGCTTTAATTGGGTTAAAAATATTTTTAAAAAATCTGATAATAGGTTAAAAAATCTATTTGTTTAAAAACTCATTTGATAGAAGAATTTAATTCTAATTTAAAAAAAAAATCAATACCTGTAACTGCATCCATGTTTAACTCACTAACAGGTAAAGCTCCTTTATCAATTAGTTTGTCAATAATTGCTATTTCAGAACTGTTGCACAACTGTAAAAAAAAAAAATGTAAAACTTTATTAACTTTTACAAAAGCATTTTACACCTTCGCCATATTTTAAAATTTTTTATTTCACCTTATAATAATAAAACATCACCTAATAATAATAAAAACACAATATTCACCTAATAACAATTTGATGAAAATATAAAATAAAAGTTTTATATATAATATAATATATATAAAATATAAAATAAAAGTAAATATTAGTATAAAGAAACACCAACTTTTAAAAAATTATTGAATCAGATGAAACCTATTAAGTTTTTAGACTTCATAATTTATGAGTAATTGAACCATAGAACAAACAAGTAGGCTAAAAAAGATTAACCTTGATATCTTCATCTGTAACACAACCAGGATGTGCTACCCACCATGAAGCTATTGACAAAGTCGGTTTAATTGGAAGAAGATCTCTGGGAGGTTTACGTGCACGAAAAAAACGCTGAAAAATGTAAGAATAACAAAATGAAAAGAAAAAAAAAGTTTTTATATACCTGAAATAATAAAAAGATAATGACCAAGGAAAAATCAAAAAAAAAAAAGTTGCAACATCTAATAATAAATTTAAACCTTTGAAGATTTACACTGATTCATTATTTCAATATATTGATTTCTACCTATTCCAAGCAAATGAAAGCCTAAACATATAAAAGCATTTTTTTTTTCATAAGTAAAAATTTCAAATAAAAACATGTCTACATATATATAGTAGTTTAAGATTACTTTTCTCAAAAAAAAAAATTATAAAAACTCTAAAAATAGTGTTAAAAAAAATAAAAAGTTTTTTAATTATATTATTATAAACAAGGCTGCAAGCAACCACTATTAAGTTGGGAAAAAAAGAAAAAAAAGTTATAGAGCAGAACGGTTACAGAAGACTTGAAAAGTAGCAGGTTGTATAAGTCATGAAAACATGAAGATGGGAGAAAGTTTTATCGGGTTGAAGTGTGGGGAAAAAAACTAGACAAATAAATGTTTTTAGAGCATGTAACAGTAAACAAATGAGACTTTGCTGAATAACGAGTCAAGCAAGAGTGATTTTTAGTTGATGGAACTATAGGTGATAGCTCCTTTAAGCAACTAAAATAATAATACTTGTAGAAAAGAGAAAGAGATGTAACTTTAAAATGATGGAAAAGAGGCTCAAGCTTAGCAGATATAGCGGGTCTAACTGCATTTAAAATGCATTTTTGGACATTGTCTAGAAGTGAAAAAAAGAGCATCATTAGAAGAGCCAGCTCAAATATGACAACAGTATTCTATACAGAGATGAATAAGAGATTTGTAGAGGTAGAGACAATGGAATCAGGAGTAAGAAAATGGCGAGTACGATAAAGACAAGCAACCTTAACAGATGCTAACTTAGCTATCAATTGTATATATGGTTTCCATGAAAGGTCAGTAGTAAACAATAATCTATGAAGATACAAAGAAGAGGACTCAGTGAGAGGGTTTTCATTCATTTATATTGGAATGTTGACGGTATTGCAATTTTGTTTGCAATAAATGACTGAGTTTCGTTAGAGTTAAAATTTACAAGCTACTGCAAGCCCCAATCTGTTACATAAGTGAGATCAGATTCAAGATCAGCTGCTTGTTCTAAGCAATCAAAAAAAGAATACTTTTAGCCAACTTAATACTCCTGTATTACGTTGAGTCATTAATAAAAGGTTGTCAGGAAGATCATCAATGTAGATAAGAAAAAAAACAGGACCAAGGATAGAACCTTGAGGTACCCCAGAAGTTACTTTTGAGGATCACTTTAATAAAGCAGTTAGAAAGAAATGATTTGATAATCTCAAAAACCTTCCCAGATATACCATATGAAGCAAGTTTATGGAGAACACCAACATGCCAAATTTGTTGAAAAGCTTTAAAATATGTCAAGATATAGATCTAGCCTCTCCACCTTCATCTAATGCACAATAAACTCTTTCAGTCACAGCAGTTAGCAAGTCTGTGGTAGAGCAAGAGGATTGAAAACCATATTAATTGTCTGACAGTAAGTTATTTGATAATTGGTTAAAATGTTCACCCAAGTTAAAAATCAACAAAATTTTGCTATAGGTAGTTATTTATCTTTACTTTTGTATTTTGTGTATGCACTATGTTGCAATGCACTTCTATTGAAATACAAAATAATCAGACTTCTATCGTTGTACTTTTTGCTCTCATTTTTAATAATCAACCTGAAAGGAAAAGGAATGGGGAAATTGTAGATTTTATGTGATATCGATATTTGATTTTAATAACACCATTACTTTATTAAATACAACAGATTTACTTTCCTGATACTAAAATATATGCTTTTTTAAGGCTTTCACAAAAAATTCAGTATACAGTAGTCAATTTTGTGATGCAATTCCTGTTATTTAATAAGGTTCCTTACCAGAATAATTGAAGAACTTTAATGAAGACATTAAAAACAGGTTAATTAAATAAATACTAACATGCACCAGAATGAATATTATTATGTATCAGAATGGGATTTGCCATGTCTGTTACATAGTATATAAATATTTCAAATCCAACAATATGAAAACAAAATTTACAACTGCGCTAGAAAATGTTGGTCATATGCACCAACATTTATTTATAAAAACACCTGTGAATATTTAAACAAGCCATATGAGTAATTGAAAAAACCATGAAAGATAAATTTGTTATTAATATATTTAAATAATCTGGCGCCCATTTTCAATATGGATGAAAGTGGTTTTCAGCTGTCACTAAAAAGGTGAAAAAACCCCTTGAAGTAACAAACAAGCCGTTAGCACTTTATTTTCAGTAAACACTAATGTAATCCATTATTAACAATATTTTTGGAAAGTTCAAAAAAGCTGGCAATCATTTGAGTGAAATAGGTGATCTTAAATACTGAGATAATCGAGACCACCTATTTAAGATTTAGCTTAGATAATCGAGACCACCTTTTTTAGAACTAATGTTTCCAAGAATAATCTTTAAACAACATAAAACAAACTGAATATGGAAAAAAGAGCAAATTATGGCAAATGTGAAAATTTATTATAATAAATAATAAAGCGTTTATGAAGAAACAATAAAAAGAAAAGATTGTAAAAAAACTAAAAAAGAAAGACAAAAAAAAAAGAAAAAGAAAAGAAAGTTGTGTATGAACAAGTCAACAAGATAGATTGTAACTTAGATCATCATTGTGAATATTCCTTTTCAATTTCTACACCTAAAAATGTTTAATACAATAAATGAAATTCATCGCAGCAGACAGACATTCATAAAACATACTTACAATGTCCAATGAACATCTCATGCATGTAAGATGTCTGGAGGACGTATTGTGCCCATTGGGATAAGTAAATTATAAATCAGTCACAATTTTAGATTTTATAACACACAATAAACTTCAATGGAGTATAGAGCGTGAAAGATAAATAATGGAAAATTGTTTTAAACATTTAAGCAAAAAGAAATTGTTTAAATTTCAGAATATGAACAACTATAAACAAAATCTAAAAGTTTTTTTATTTGTAACTGCAAATAAAATTGCAAATATTTAGTAATCTAACAAAATATAATAACTTTTGTTAAACTTACACTATAAGTATCATTTATTTTATAAAAGTCAAATGATAATGACATGAACACTACTACATAACTATAAAAAATCAAATGCTAATGACATAAACACTGCTACATAATTATAAAAAAATCAAATGCTAATGATATGAACACTACATAACTATTTTGTATAGTTATGTGCAAATCATATACAATGATTTTTTAAATAATTTGCTCATTACTAAGCAAACAACTTCATAAAAATCTTACAATCAGCGGCTGTAAAGTTTGGCAATGTGTCATAACTTCGCTCATTTACCATTATATCTTCCATCATTTTGCAATAATATATAAAAGGAGTCAATCGCAATCCTTTTACAAAGATATCAGATAAATGGTATGGATAAAGCTGAAAAAGAAGCATTTTAAAATGAGAAAAAGATAATTTTAAGATATGAAAAAAAAAAAGAAAAAAAAAATTAATAAGAGATTATTTAATGTCAAACTTTTTTTTCAAATTAAATTTATCCCATAAGGCTCCTGATGGAACCAGTAGAGTCGATGAGTCAACTCATTTATTTATGATAATTATTGCTTTATTTTTTTTCTAATTTATTAATTCTCTCATCTCTAGACAAAGAAACATAAACCTTGTAAAATGCTTACGCAGCATGTTACAAGTTATGGTTGCTGCGTGAAGAAACAGATTGAGTACAGTTATTCCAGAGGAGAGTGGGTTTGAACCTCAAAGCTCTTATTTACAAAAAAAAATATTTTAAATCCTTCAAATATTAGAGATTTTCAAACATTTAACTGAATTAAAATTATTAAAATTGAAAATAAAAATTGGCTAAAAAGTAATGAGCATTAAAAAATAAAAATTATTTTTAATTCCACAACAATATATGCACCATTTAATTCCAACACTAATCTTTAACAATATATGCACCATTTAATTCCACGACTAATCTTCAACAATATATGCACCATTTAATTCCAAGACTAATCTTCAACAGTATATGTACCATTTAATTCTACGACTAATCTTCAACAATATATGCACCATTTAGGTGTATGACCTCCTGCCAATATTTAGACAAAGAATGAATGTCATTGGTAAGCACAGTAAAAGCTTGTCAAGTTGACCATTGAAGGTTGCTGCCATAATTGATGTATTCAGCAGAAGTTGTTCATATTGCACAATGCAACTCAAGTCTTACCAAACAGAGAGCAATAAGTTTTTAAGGGCATAAATTAACTTTTCGAATTGGTTTTAATGATTGTTCCTAATCCTAATTTTCTGAATTGCTTTTCTTGAAACATTAGGTCATTGTTACAAAAGCATTAAAATACATTGCTGTGGCCTCAGAAACTAAACCCTGACCTAGCCAATAGCATATATTCTGTGTGGCTTTGGTTACTGAGTGGCTCAACTGAATCTCATAAAGCAGGTAGTGTCAAACATGGTCTTTAAAAAGTAATGTTGTCTTTTTTTCACGATATATAGAAGTTACAACACAAAAATTCTAATTGACCTGATGCTGTTTCATGTCTTATATATACTCAAATCATAAAAGCTTCTGCTTCCAGAATACTCTAAGCATTTTTAGAAAAATTGCTTATTACTTTTTACCCAATCCAATAGTATGTTTTTAAATTGCATATAGATATAAAAAATAACTCACTAAAATTGACGAAAAATTAAAAATACCATTAGATGATCTCTGCTATACTGAATAAGTTCTTGATAGTAATTTTTTTCGTCTTTTCGAACATGTCTAACTTAATATTTCACATAAAAAAAGAAAAAAAAAGAAAATTAGTTAATTTTTTTCAATACTTTATATTATTTCAATGAAAATTTACATTTTATAAATTAAAATATTGTTATCAATCAAAAGTGTCTGTTACTCTCAAAATTCCATGATGCCATGATTTTTTTTATCGCTCTTTTTCTGTCTCTTTGTGAGAAAAGACTTTTAAAACTAGCAACTCTAGAGCTCGAGCTCAGGAGTGATTTGTAACTAGGCTCTTGTAAGCCTAGTTACAAATTTAACAATTAAATTAGTTTTTAGAAATACTAAATTTTTCCAATTTAAAAAGGGTAAAGTCAAGTTGTTTATAACTTAAATAAACCATAGAAATTAAGTTACGAGTTAATTAAACTTGATAAAACAAATTATTTATCAAGTTATTAACAAAAAACTTCATCATTTTTAATGCTATATTGTTTCTCATGAAACAAATTTTCAACTTGTTGATTTTTTTTTTAAAATCTGGTCTGATTAATTATTGTTGATATCAACAAAAATAATAATTGTTGAAATCAATAAAAATAAAAAAATGTTGTAAAAGTTTACTTTAATTGATTGAATGTTGTAAAAGCTATACTTTAATTGGTTTTCCTTTTTGTTAAATTAAAAAAATATATATATTTTTTGAAAACTTCAAAGTATAACTTACTAAGAAGGATAAAAAAATGTAAATAGTATTTACAAATTCATTTTCACTTTCAATTAAAAAAGTAAAAACATTTGTAAAAAATTTTATTGTTAATATAATTTTTAAATTTTGGATATGGATACAAAACTATTAATAAACACTAGCTGAGATTGGACCCGTAAAATTACGGGTCTTTGTATATCTATTCCAAACCGAACTTTTCTATACTTTTTCCTTTTATATCTTAGCTTTCCGCATCCGTAAAATACAGATCTTTACCAATTGCATACCTATTCCTTGTTTACTTCAATGTTTTTTAGTAAAATAATTTATTTTGAAAAAAAATTTAAAAGCAAAAAACTTAACATGCGCACCTTTTACGCATAGGTAGAGCTTATAAGAGACTTATAATTAGGTTTTTTTTCTTCTAAATACATTTCATTGATAGCTCAGTGGTTAAATGTGCTGTCATCAGTGTTGTTTTGGAGGGTTTAAGACCTCTTCTTAGCGAAATAAATTTTGAATTTTTTTTCAATCTTGCTTATACAGTCACGGACAAAATTAAGTAACATTATTGATAAAATCGAAACTCGAACAATAAAAACAAAATTATTTAAGTCAGGATCTACGCAACTGCAATAACTTTATGTTTTTTTAAAAACTTGATTCCAAAGAAAAAAAAATACGTTTTTAACTCTTTATAACTCATTGCAAAAGTAACTCTATTAAACGAAATTAGCTATCTTACAACTTTTTTGTCCAAAATAAATGCGACATAAGTAAGAAACATCTTTTTTTATTATGAGTTTTTATTATGAAATATAATGTTTTGTCAGTAATATATATTAAAAATACAAGAATATCATGTCTGATTTTCATTTTAGTACTTTGTTGCACCACCTTTTGCTTTCACGACTGCTTCTAAACGTCTTGGCATGCTTTTTACAAGCTTTGACGTGACGTCAGTACCAATTGAATTCCAAGTTTCACTAAGAACCTCAAAAAATTCTTTTTTATCTGTTCGTTTTGAAGGAGGTATTTTAGATTTTAAAATTGCCCATAAATTTTCAATGGGGTTAAGGTCGGGGCTTTGTGGTGGCCATTTAAGGATGTTAACTTTACTTTTTTTAAGGAAATGTTGTGCCACTTTGCTGGTGTGTTTGGGGTCATTGTCTTGTTGAAAAAAGAACTTGCGATCTAAATTCAATTTTTTAGCGGATTGACATAAATGTTTGGAAAGCAAATCAACATACAATTGTCCTGTCATTATACCTTCAACATTCACCAGTCTTCCCACACCATTTGAACCAAAGCATCCCCAAACCATAATTGAGCCACCTCCATGCTTGACAGTTTTTCTAAGATTTCTATCTAAGAGTGCATCACAAGGTCTGCGCCAAACTCTTTGTCGTTTTTTAAAGCCAAATATTTGAAATTTACTCTCATCAGACCATAACACTGAGTTCCAAAATGCCTCATCCTTGTTAAATGCAGTTTTGCAAATGCTAAGCGTTTTTTTTTGTTTATACCACTAATGAGGGGTTTACTTTTTTGAAGACGGTTTATTAAACCACTTGAATTAAGTCCTCTCTGTACAGTTCGACTGGAAACATTTAATTTAAGATTTTCAACAATCTGTCTTGAGGTTATTGTTGAATTTTGTTTTGCTATTCGCGCAATTAGCATATCAGTTCTTGTTGAAGTCTTAGGGAGGCGATCTGATTTTCAACAGAACCAGTTGTTTCAAATTTTATACACATCTTTCTAACACCACTTATCGATATTTGATATTTTTCTGCACATTGCTTGTAGGTTTTTTCGATCACAAATGACCCGAGATCGGATGTCCAATGAATAATTTTGATGATGAACCATTATTATTGTTAGTTTTACTTTTTCTAAAAATAAATTCCGAAAAAATAAAGTTTAAAATGCTTATTTTTAATAAATTTAACAAAATCTCTTTAATAATCATTTTTAATAAATAGCTATTGACAAAACATTATATTTTATAATAAAAACTCAAATGTTTCTTACTTTTGTCACATTTATTTTTGAAAAAAAATTTGTGAGATAGCTAATTTTGTTTAATAGATTAACTTTTGCAAGGAATTATAAAAAGTTATAAATGTATTTATTTTTCTTAGGAATCAAGTTTAAAAAAAAAACATAAAATTATTGCAGTTATGTAGATCTTGACGTAAATAATTTTGTTTGTATTGTTAGAGTATCAATTTTATCAACAATGTTACTTAATTTTGTCCGTGACTGTATATTCGATTATATAGTCATAGCAAAAAAATAATAATACAGAAAGAAAGATTTCCAAAATTTAAAATAAAATTTTCAAGTTTTCTCAATTTATAGATATATAGCTATACTCGATTATTCCATATAATGCCTGCAAACTCAACATATTTTTTTTTTTTTTTTATTATCTTTGCTTCCAACAAGGCTGCAAGCAACCACTAATTAGTGTTGGAAGTTACTGTAAGAGAAAAGATGAAGATTGTAGAGCAAGATAACGATTGACAGATGACTTAAAAGATTGCAAATTATATGAATCAGGAAAGCAAGATGAAGCGAATTCCAAAGAACTGATGTTCGAGGAAAAAAACTAGACAAATAAGAGTTTTTGGAGCACTTAGGAACAGTAAAAGAAAAAGGATGAGACTTAATTGAATGACGAGCAACACGAGAATGAATTTTAGTAGATGGCACAAGAGACGCTAGCTCTTTAATCATGAATCAGGAAAGCAAGATGAAGCGAATTCCAAAGAACTGATGTTCGAGGAAAAAAACTAGACAAATAAGAGTTTTTGGAGCACTTAGGAACAGTAAAAGAAAAAGGATGAGACTTAATTGAATGACGAGCAACACGAGAATGAATTTTAGTAGATGGCACAAGAGACGCTAGCTCTTTAATCATGAATCAGGAAAGCAAGATGAAGCGAATTCCAAAGAACTGATGTTCGAGGAAAAAAACTAGACAAATAAGAGTTTTTGGAGCACTTAGGAACAGTAAAAGAAAAAGGATGAGACTTAATTGAATGACGAGCAACACGAGAATGAATTTTAGTAGATGGCACAAGAGACGCTAGCTCTTTAGAGCAGTGCCCGTTATAGTATTTGTAGAAAAGAAATGCTAAAGATGTTTACACTTGCATACATTTGTACATAACGCTTTATAAATGGAATTAAGAAGATTAAGAAATAAAGAATAATATTAAACGCTTATCTAAAAGTTAAGCCAAAAAGATTTTGAGCATTGATGTCAGTTAGTGGCAAAATAAAACTTTATGCATCAAGTTTCCTTTTGCATTTATCTTACATTTTTTAAATTAATTTTCATTATGTTGCATACAAATGCATAAAAATATATAAAACTGGTAAAGATATATTATTTTCACGGATAAGAGATTGTATTTATTACAATAGAAATAAATAAATATTTTTTGACTTTATTAGAATATATCCCACAAAAATATATTCCACATGACTTTTTTTAGTTTCCAATAGAGTTTTTTTTAAAAATTGAACAAAATCTGAATTTCTATGACTATCATTTTTAAAGGTCTAAGAAGCAGATGACATAATTTTAGCAATCAGAAATTATTAAGAGAGCAGCAAATCTAAAGTTGAAGTTTCAAATTTTCCACTTGGAAGTGACAGTTGTTTCGTGTTTTTTCAATCTTGTCAATTTATTTAAATATAATAACATAACTACAAAAAATCAAAACACAACAGCTTGAGCAAAAAAGACTTGTCATTATTAGAAAAGTTTACTTATATTACATACGATCCTGAATAAAACATTATATAAGTGGATTTTTGACATTTTATAAACAATATATGTACAATCAAATAACATATTTGTTTATATATACATTGTTTACATAGAGATGGTTGAGCGCAACTAAGTTTAAAAAAAAATTAGTTTATATCAAAATTAAAAAATGATTTATATAAGGTTTCTTTGCAAAAACCTACGCACTATAACAAAATTTTTAAGTGCTATATAAAATTTTGAACTACAATTTCTATATTCACTATAATAAAATTTTTTACCATAATAAAATTCTTAAGCACTGAACTGCAATTAATTAAATTTTTTGGTTTATTGGCTTTTGTTAAGAGCTTTTAAATTTTGCGTCAAATTATCTCATTTCAACATTTTCGTTGTATACTGCAGCCGTTTTTCAAAACGCTTTAAAGGTAAAAAATATTTTTTTGACTTTTTTATAAAACAAGTTACTTTATATGTCTAAAAACGTTATTGAATAAATATTTTCAAAGAATTCTGAAAAAATTCATTAAAATTGTTTTGTTTTAAAAAACGTTTTACAAAGAGTTTATATATACATTGTTTGCGCTTAACCATCTCTATTTATTTTATTTTTTTTTAATTGCGTTTTTCTCGAAATACGTAATAAGCATATTAAGGCGTTTTGAAAAACAGCAGCAGCACATATTTATTGTATAAAAATAAATATAGCAAAAAAAACTATTGTCAAAAGAAATTTTTAAATTTTTTTCTAACTACTGGCTTTATTTTTTTATTTTTTTTACAGCACTTTCTTGAGTAGCAGAACTGTTTTAAAAAGTTTTTTTTTAATTATGTTTTAGAAACTTTTTTTTCAGAACATCTGCAGCTTATTAGGACTAATTACCTGAGCACGTTATTAGTTTTTTGTTGGTTTAAGTGTATAATATTGTTACATATGTTTTTATAAACACTCTATAAAACTTCAAAAGTATTTTGTATTTTAAAATAGTCGAAAAAATTAAAAAAAGTTTTTAATGGTAGGACTCATGACTCAAACCAGGGCTTACTTGTTCAGAAGCTAAGCGCGCTATCAACTCAACCATGCTGGCACGTTTTTAAACAAAAATTTCTAAAACTATGTAATGATGTTTTTCACAGAAAGATATACTGTACATCAAAGTTAAGGAGAGCTTGACGCAATGCAATTTTTAAGTGAAAATCAAACTGTTACTTGATAAATGTTTCAGTATATTTTAACATTACTTAATTTAAAGTTTACATACGTTAGAAATTTGCACACACATTCGTTCACATTTTCTTATAAAACAAAGTGCTGCAACTCTCACTCGCCACTACCTCAGTTGCAATGGCTGCCAAGGGTTCTGTGTCAAACACGCTCGAATGAGCACTACTATTAAAAGGATTTAGTTCAGCAACAGTATATAGATGATTGTCAATATTTTATAAAAAAAATTGAATTGTTATCATCTAGTATCTATAATTGATATTGTTGTTTATTAAAACTTAGAATAAATACATCATTTTAATACAAGAAAAATAATTTTAAAGCAATAGAAACCAGGCAAAATAAAAACAGTGTTCACATTATTTAAATAAAAATAGATAAGATATAAAATATACTACGTGACCAACACTCTCATGTAAAACGTGGTAAAAATTTTAATTAGCTTTCCTATTTTACTATCAAAAATATTAAGTATTTAAGAAAATAAAATGATTTTAAATGAAAATATAAAGTATTTAAGAAAATAAAATGACTTTAAATGAGTTTTATAAATAGTTATAAACATCAGGAAAAATAGAGTTTTGTATGTTTTATAAATATTAATTGGTATGTCATTTTTACATAAAGTTATTTAATTTTGATTGTTTAAAAAAAAACAAGTAAGATAGTGAATATATTACTTACTTTTTTATATTATAAATATAACAAAGATATTTTACATTATAAATATTAAAAAGATCTTTTATATTTAAAATGAATATAATTTAACAAGATATAAAAAATAAAATTAAATAAGATTTTTAAAACTAACAACAATATCATAATTGCGCTGAAAAATCTAAACAACTGACGACAATAAGAAAAAAAAGTTTTGAATGAATAGCCTTGCTAAGATCATGATTCTGCATTTTTTCACTTGAAGAAAACTCGTTTGAAAAAAGTTTTTAATCAACTTAATTCATTTCTTTTTGTTTATTTTGAAAATACTTTATGTATTAAAAAAATAAACAAAAAAGAAATGTTTAAAAAAAACTCAGTGATGTAAATTATTATATTCGTGAAAAAGCAAAAACATTAATTGCAAAACTAAAATGAAAATTAAAATTTTTATTGCTTATTAAAATCATTTTATAGGGCAATTTTTAATTGTAATTTAATAATTAGTAAATATTCATGAAATACAAGTAAAATATTTGAATGGAATTGTTGAAAACAGGAATATTTTTATAAACATTCAGCATGTTTTTATTTTTTTAATAAAAACAAACACTCTGAATGTTTTTATTTTTTAAAGTTTAAATACATTGACAGACAAAGAGTGTTGTTACATCGACTGACAAATAGGTAGAACATGCAAGAATTGCATGTTCTTCCTATTGACCAGTATATATATATATATATATATATATATATATATATATATATATATATATATATATATATATATATATATATATATATATATATATATATATATATATATATATATATATATGTATATATATATATGTATATATATATATATATATATATATATATATATATATATATATATATATATATATATATATATATATATATATATATATATACATACATATATATATATATATATATATATATATATATATATATATATATATATATATATATATATATATATATATATATATATATATATATATATATATATATATATATATAACAAAAACATAACAGCTCAATTGTAAAACGAATAACTACTCCATCAGAATTTCCAGACTTTTCCATGACTATCTAAAGAAAAAAAATTCACTGACTTTTCCAGGTTTTCTATGACTTTAGCCAAAATTAACTAATTTTCTAGGTTTTCCAGGTACAGTACGAACCCTGTATACATATATGTAGTGTTAATAAACAATGTTAATAAGTGTTAGGCAGTGGTGTTAATAAGGACTTCTCAAGGACTTAAGACTATGGTTTTTTGTACAGTTCATATATCTTTTCTTAGCTTTTGAAGTAAATCAAGTTTAATTTCTGCATATGAACTTTATATACACTTTTTAAAATTAATGTCCTTAAAATAACTTTTAGGTTTAAAGTTTTTTAAAGGTTTTTTACAGATCAATTCTCGAGCTTAAGAAATTACAGTAATTATTTTCTTTAACTTTAAGAGTTAAGTAAAAAAGCAAAAATACTACAATAACACTGTAGCACTGTAGACCAAAGTACTTGAAAAATAACACTGTAGACCAAAGTACTTGAAAAATAACACTGAAGACCAAATTACTTGAAAAACCTTGTTAACATCACTGGCATAAGGACTTTTTTGGTAAAATAAATTCAGGATCAACATAAAGAAAGTAATCAAACCATACCATTAACTAAAACATTCAAAAATTTTAATTGACAAAAATTTTGAGATGCTGATTTTCATCAGCACATATGACACTAAAACAAAACAAAACAACTTTTGATTGATAAAAAGTTATATTATTCATATACCCAAGTTATTTGATGTAATAATATACAGTTAAAAAAATATAAGTTATCAATATACAAGTTATTTGATGAACACTGTTAACAGATTTCCTAGCATAAAGTATTTATAAGACCAACCATTATAATTCCTTTGTATGTTGGTTAGCTGGGTGATTATTACAATAAAAGCTACTATATAACCCTTTTACTAGGATTAGGTTTTTTTAGATAATTTTACTTACCAATACTTGTTTTAAAGCGATATTGATTTCTGATTGAATAATCAGAAACACATTTGGCCCAATTTTGTTCATTATTGCCCAATGTCTAAATTAAATGAAAACATATAATAAAAAATAATTTATAAATGTAAAGTTTTCCATCTTAAATAAAATAACAAAATATGAAGTTTATCATCTGAAAGATGGCAACAAATTATCATTTAAGTGTATGTATAAAAGAAGGTTGCAAACAAAAATGCAAATATAAGACTTATATTTAGAGAAAAAACTTGTTTTATAAAATATTTTTTGAAAACCAAATATGAAAAAAACTTTTTTAAAATATTACTTATGTAGACATATTTTACTTAAACATATTTATTTTTCAGTCAGTCATGTTTTTAAAGAAGTAAACAATAAAATAATTAAAGAAAAAAAAAAAGAAACTTAGACTCATTTGAAAATATAAAAATTCACATAGTTTAACTGCAATCTATTTAGTATGTAAAAAAAAAAACTTTAAAAAATATTATACAAACTTACTTGTTTAACACTTTGTGGCAACTTGGACCATGAATTATTATTTTTAATATGCGCTTCTATCTCTGGGTTCATCATTTTTATTTATTAACTTGACTCTTTTTATGAAGTACAATTAAAAATCAAATTTTGTAAATACAATTATAAAATCTGTTATTTTTAAGACTAAGACAGTTTAAACTACTTTACAACAATTTGTCATACCACAAATACAAGAAAAACTTTTTATTAATAATTCTGTGCAATAAACTGAACCTGTTCAAATTAAAGACAATACATTTGTATATTTTATAACTTCTACTTTAAAAATTTATTTTTATGCTTTAACTTTATAATACAAACTACTTTTTTTTTTCTTTTTTTTTGAATTTATAATTTATGTTTTGTTTAAAGTTAACAAACCTAATAGACACGTTTATTTTACAATATGACTAATAAAACAAGTTAAAAATCAATTCTTTAAAACTATTGCATAAATAGATAAACATTAAATGCTTCAATTATTACAAGATATTTATTTGCTGATAGCTAAAAAATCACTACAGACACACATCACAACAATAGTTATATATTCTAAATTATATTCTGAAATGCTAAATTTAATCGAAAAACTTTTGAATAATTTCCCTAAATAAAGTTGGTTTTATACTCAAAGCTCGCTTAAGTTTAGAATGTATTAAATTTCCAAAAGATCATAACAGCATAAATTTAGTTACAAGCTTAAAAAAATATTTTGCTCAAAATATATTATTTAATTGTCAATCAGAGAAAAATACAAAGTTAAATCCCAAGTAATTAAACAACTAGTGGTTTGGTTCACATAAAATAGCAAAACATTTAAAAAATACTAAACTAATAACTAAAAACAAATTTTAGGTAAATTTTCATAAGAATTCAATCAAATCAAATTCAAAATAAAACAAGTTCTCCGCTTAGACTTTTCTATAAAGCACTTTACAAATTGTAATTAGTGTTTACTTTTAATTAGTATTTGTACTATTTTTGAAACATCATTAAATGTAATGAAAAACTTTTATTTCAAAATACATAACGTTACTGTTGGTAAAACTCTAAATAATAAGCACTTTTTAAGATTCACACCGGACCGCATCTGATACCCCAGTTCACACTGGAGATAAATCACGTTTTATTTTAAACGTGTTTTGTGTTTTTAATGTTATAAACTGTACAAAACAGTAATAAAACAACATAGCGATGTTGTTTTAAACACAAACTTTTTATATTGACAAAGCAACCTTGCAGGATTGTTTTATTGTTGTTTTATACAGCTGTTTATAGTAACAATTTAATATTCTTTTAAAATAAAATGTGTTATATATATATAGTATAAGTATGAAAAGGTAGAGCGAAACATGTAGTACAATAAAAGTGTACCCACTGTCGAAATTAGAGGGCATCCAAAAGACCATCTTTACCAATGTCCTGTATAGACACCCTCTGCAGGGCCAAAGCGTTTGGAGAGGCCAGCCAGAAAGGATTCAATTATTTTTAACTGATAAAAAAAATTTCGCAATATTAATTTATTCTAAATAAATAAATTTTGCAATATTAATTAAATTTCGCCATTATATATATATATATATATATATATATATATATATATATATATATATATATATATATATATATATATATATATATATATATATATATTATCGAAATTTAATTTAATATATATAATCATATATATATATATATATATATATATATATATATATATATATATATATATATATATATATATATATATATATATATATATATATATATATATATATATATATATATATATATTTATATATACATATATATATATATATATATATATATATATATATATATATATATATATATATATATATATATATATATATTATCGAAATTTAATTTAATATATATAATCATGTATATATATATATATATATATATATATATATATATATATATATATATATATATATATATATATATTAAATTAAATTTCGCAATATTGATTTTTTCTATTTTTATATTTTGAATCTATTGCTTTAAAAAATTAAACAACAAAAAAAGTAATTCAAACAGAGTAATTTTAATGGGGAAGATGAAACAAGTTTTTAATTATCTTTAGAGATAGATAAAATCGTTGTCCTTGATTCTTAAAAAGGATAAATTTTATGGTTTTAGTTGCTAAAATAAATATTTCAATAACAGCTTTCGAAATATTTTTTGTTTGTTTGTTTCAATACAAGTCTTAGCCTTGATTGACAGGCTATTTTATTTACACGGTACAATGATCAGAACTTTATTTTTTTGACTTCTTAATTGTCAATAGTCCTTATATATATTAACCAGCCGTAGCGCAGTGGTAAGCGCGCTTGCCTCAGAAACCATGGTTGAACACTATCTCTGCACGGTTAGCACGGATCCTTATAATGCCTACCTAGCTGTCCCAAGAATGAAAAGTTAACGTACACATCAAGGTTCCCTGGGATGCAAATTTTGAAAACACTTAGTTTTGTCTGCGGAAAATAATTTAATTTGAATGTTCAAATTAAGTCAAATTTTGACTTCATAGTGCACCTTGTAGAATTTGAACCACTCAATATAATTTAATAAAAATTGGTGCAAATGTAGCCAATAGCCACACCAAACTCTGGACATAATTTCAGCCTGATTGGACGACTGGTGTTGGATTTATTGCAGTTTTAGTTGAAGTTTTGTCAGTTTTTTGCAACTTATACCTCAAAGCGTTACCGATTACTTTGAAATTCGGTCATTATTTCTAAAATAACGGTTACATGAGTGTTCTACTATGTAATACCAACAATTTTGTTATAATTGTTTTATCGGTACATCTAAAGTTTTCATTTTGTAGATCAAAATAGTGACTTGCTACTTAAAGCGTGATTTGAATTGGCTTATGCCAATTCAAATCACGCTTTGACCCTTTCACTCTTTTTTTCTATTTTTTCTAATTTCTAAAATAAAATCCATAATTTCTAAAATAATTGCCTATATTTCTAAAACAAAAAGTCCTCGCAAAAAAAAAGTAGAAAAGAACATGACCCCGTAGCCTCCCTGGCGTTGACGGCCAAGTATGCTTCGCTTGAATATACCAACATTTCTTAAGGTATAAACTACTGCCACGGGCTCAGTTGAATGTGGGGGGCGGCTGGCCACTTAACAGCTTCTATCCAAGCAGTTTTAAAGATCTTGAAAAGATGGTTGACAACTCCTAAAAGAGATGCAATTCCATCGGTGGAATGATTTCCAAAATCAGAACATTGACAGGCCCGCAGATGATTGACTTTCGAATGACATTGCCAAACAGCTTTGCATTAGCAACAACCCCGCCAGATTGCTGAAAAGATTCAAGGCTCGAATTAATTGACCCCACGTCACACCAGGTGCAAGGGTGCGTACTTGAATGAGTTTGAAGACCATAAATTATATTTGCAACTTTCATATCACAAGCCAAAATTAGTTTAACTCCATTTGCATTATTCAGTGGCCAGATTTGTTCAATATTGGAGTGTGTTTCTGGGAAATTTTCTGAAACCCCAACAATAATTTGTCTCTTGACTCCAGTGTCTTTACCAGTCCTTTGAGTGAGAGGTTGTCGTTGGTGCGGTGAGCTGGTTTTATGCGTTAAAAGCATTTGTAAAGAAACCTTTGCACATTTGTCATTTACAAGTACACCATCGGGTCTGCACTTACTTTTTATTGCTAGTATATTATCATAGGGTGGATTAATATTAGCGTTACGTTGCTTGTTTTCAGTCCGGATGGAACAGTATTGGTTCTTCGAAAAATTGTTTTCGAGAAGAAATGCTAACGCTTCCTCATCAGACATTACAATAGATGCTTTTACATCATCGACATATAGCTTTTTAATCTTGGATGGTCTTGATGGACTTTCGATGGTTTCTTTTAAAACAACTGCCAAATCTACTTGTCCTTGTTTTCGAGCCGAAATTGATGCTGCTTGAACTAACAGATTTGTTTCGTTATGTTTCTGACATCGAGAGGTTTGCTCCTCTTACTTCGTTCAGATTTCTCAGAGTTGTGGGCGTCTCCTTCTTACTTTGTTCATTTTCTCAAGTTGCGGGCGTCCAGTTAGTGATACAATTTTTTCATCTGGGCTTAGTTCTACTATGCATTGAGTCTCTGTGGAAGCGATTTCTAAATTTATTTGCCTGTTTATTACAGTTTCTGAACAAAGCCAGCCAAAAATATTTAATTTGAAAATCATCTAATCTTCTATGACACTTTTCCCACTTTGCAGACAAATTATTGTTAAGCATGCGTGCTTTTTCTGTTCAATATTTATAGCATTCATCTGAAATTTTATCGGCTCCACATTTTTGTATAAAATAATTTATTATTTTTTCCTTTCTTCTGCTGGGTCAACCAAATATCAAAAACTGCTGAATTCTGTAAACAAATGACGCCTGAAAAAAAAATTTACTCAAAAACCGCAAATCGAGATAAACATTTCCAAAAACTAAACACTTCAAAGTAATTTTGATTTTTAATCTTATGCTTAACACTCCTAAACAAAATGTGTTAAGCTTACTTAAACTTAAAAAATAAAATATATTCCAAAATGTTAAAGAATTTTGGAAAAAGTTGTTTTATTTTTTAGAGTATACAAATTTTGAGTATTATTTTTCACAAAACTAATAAACTTGCCATCACCTTCTTTTTCCATTTAAACTTTTATTTAACACGCTTTATTTTCAGCTTTAACAATCAATTGAAGTAAGCACTATAAAACACCGAACGCAATTCTGTTTACAAATGAAGCAAACAAATTCAACTTCGATGACTCACCGAATAACGGTGAATTGCATATTACAACAACAAAATTAATTTTTGGTTGTTTTGGAGTGTTGACTAGTAGATTTAAAAAACAAAAACATATTTCGTGGAGTAAAAAATTTGACTTTTGGCCAAGAAAAGTGATGTTTCCGACCACTGTGAGTTGTTCTGTTTCATATAAATAAATATTTTTATTTTCTCTGTAGGTATCCTTAGAGATCCATCTTAACCTTTTTTTAAGAATTTTTTTGCATTCTGGCAGTAGTTTATATCTTAAGAAATGTTCATATATTCACGCTATGCAT